ACTCTTCTCCCCTAAACAGGTTGCAACAGAATGTCTTCTAAGTTCACAGGATGGTGGAGGAAATATTACAACTTTGTAGACTACCACTCAAACATTTTGATCCAGAGAATTCATGTTATAGCTACTTCTCACAAGCTGGACACAACAAAGTAGTTCTGCTGAAAGCAAATTAATTGGTGCTGAAATTTTGGGCTTTGGATCACAAATCCTTGATTTTTGCTGCCAAAAACTCCGATCAAACACAACTAGTCAGGCTTGGTGAGAAAAGCTTCTGCCAGAGATGTAGAGATCCTCTTGAATTGTCTTCCCCAACTGGCCACATTTCAGATATGTCCCCACTACAGTTCTCATCATCCCCAATCAGCATGTTCAGTGCCCCTAGTCTAGTAAGTTGAAGACACACTACCCTTCATTGATGAGACAATTCCCTTTTCAGCAGAAAAGGTGCTGTATATGCCTGATAGCTTAAGGTGTTCCATTTAAATGGTTTGTTTTTGGTGCCACTTGCTCCTATTCTATTAATGTTTTAATTCTTGTGTATTTATTATTACTGTATGTTTAATCATTTTAAACTGCCCAGAATAGTGTCTTGCGCTAATGAGGTGGTGTATAAATCAAATCAAATCAAATAATATCCACCAGCATAAGTATTAAAACATATTATCACTTCAAAGTCAGGTTCACCGAAAAGACAGGAGTTCTGCTAATTGTATTTTCATACCATACTCAATTTAAGGTGTAAATCTTCAAAAATGCTTGTGTGAAAGCCAAATCAGTGGCAGACAGGTCTGAGCCATATGCAGAGGCAGCATCTGTTGCTTGTGTGTAGGCACTGTAACAGCTATGTTGTGTGCTTTTTATAAACTAAAACATTCATGTAGTGCTTTACCCATGCAGCTGAAATTCTTTATTTCAAGTTATTAGAAGATGGCTGTTCTTAAGGTGAAGGTACAATTGGAAGTTCAGCAGAGATGGAGATCTTTTCCACTCCTAATATAAGAACAGTATTTTATTTCAAACAGTTCTTAATGTGCGGGTTTGGCTGCAAATGGGTTTTATGTTGATTGCTATTTTTCCATTTTACTGTTTTAATTCATTTTTGTAATAAACTGCATTTTATCTTGTAAGCTCTGTAAGCTCCATGAGCAGGACTATGGGATATAAATGAGAAGGAATAGGATGGCTGGAACTTTTGAGACTTAGGGCTGAATACAGTACTAGTACTTGTATATTTACCGTACCACACATTGGCTTAATTTTTAGCAGTTACATTTTTACTATTAAAGTAGGTCTACAGGATTAGGATAAGGGTAGGTAATATGTGGCTCTCAAGATGTTGGTAGGTTTCACTACCCATCACTCATAGTCAGCATAGGCAATGGCAAGGAATGCTGGGAGTTGCAGTCCAAAAAAACACCTGGAGGACCATTTTTGCTCATGCCTGGGCCAGGTTGTAGGATAATGAGAAAACATCAATTTGGGCGAGTAGGTAATTTACTCTGCAGCTCAGATAGCTGAGCACTGCACTGCCCCCACCTCCTTACCTATGAAAACAAAACATAGAATATATTTTTAAAAAATTCATCATTCTGTCTCCATTCCCTTAGCCTCTGGTGTGAGCCAATTAATCTCTTAAAATAAATAAAATTACTCACCTGGTCAACAGCTAGAAAACATTTTGATCTAAATAGGTAATTAGGTGCCTGCTACAGAAAGATCTTCCTTTTTCCACCTTTAGCTCTCCCACAACTGATGATCCTGAAGATAATTCCCTCCCTACTGATACTTTCGTTCGTTTAGTCGTGTCCGACTCTTCGTGACCCCATGGACCAGAGCACGCCAGGCCCTCCTATCTTCCACTGCTTCCTGGAGTTGGGTCAAATTCATGTTGGTTGCTTCGCAGACACTGTCCAGCCATCTCATCCTCTGCTGATACTTATTTTACCCCTAAAAGCCTTTCAGTTGCAGTCCTGTATCTACTTCTGGACATCCCATCAATTAGTAAATTCCTATACATTAAGATTAAAAAGCAGTAGCTACACCTCCACACGAGTATTTGAAGGCTTTGCCTGTACAGCTTCTAAACAGGGTTGCCAGGTTCAGATTTCAAGAATTCACACTCCTTTAGAGCTTGCACAAAATAATTAATTGCACTGGGTGCAGTTTATCCTACAGCCACTACTCTGGGTAAAAAGGTTGCACTTAGTATGATTGTGTTTTCCATGTTATCCATAAGGATTCAGGAGGCCTCTTGAGGTTTGCAAAAGGCAACACAATTTTATGGAGGAAACCCTTCATCATTGAATTAAAGTGACACAAGAGTTTCCACTGTTTCATGTGTAGCTTACATGAGAAGCAATCAGGCTTTAGGTAGGACCTATAAATCTTTAACAGATGCTTGCTTGTGAGAAACTGAGCCTTTTCTCAGTAGAGAATAGAAGAGATGGTGGAGGACAGCATTGTCTCTGGAGTCTTGCTCAACTATGCACTTCTTGGACCAACCATATTTATGAGACGCACACAATTAAGCCATCATTTAGAGATCCACTGACACCCTTATTGGGGGAACCAGTTCAGAACCTGGATACCTACAGCAGAAGTACTACTAGTAACACCAAGTGTGTGCCATCAAGTCAATTCCTAGGGTTTTTCAGGCAGAGAATACACAGAAGTTGCTTCCCACTAGTTTCTTCTGTAGGTACTACAGGACTGCAGCTTACCCAAGGCTATGCACATAAAGCACAAAATATGGAAGCAGCATATTCCTTGAGTCAGATTTAAATCAGCACTCAACTGAAGACAAAGCCACACTACAAAGGTGAAGGTAGAATCCTTTTCATGATGTTTTAGATTAAGAAATAATTTTCCCTCTGAAAAGGCACCATATGCTTCCCAGCAGAATTGCTTGCACATACCTTGTGTGATACAAAAGTCTCATTCTGTTCAGTAGTGTCTCATGTTCTGAATTTTGTCCTCCTCACCCCCTCCCCCAAAATATGTAACCAATAAACAAGTGACTTATGATAGTGGTGTCTGGGGCTCATCCATGGACTACTATGCTGAAAATGCCCAAACAGTATGGTCCCGTTTCCAAGCCCTGGTTGCTACTTTTCACGGAAGGATTAAAAAACAGTCACCCAGGCTCCAGAGCATCCTACCACAAAGCAATTTCTGCAATAAAGACCCTATGTAACTTGCAAGTACACATAAAATGCTACAGATGCCAGATGCAACAACTGCAAACCTGTCTCTAGAAATCACATATAAAGTGGATCCTAGGATTGTTCTAAGAGCAAAAAAGGTACATGGGTGAACAGTCCTGGATATCCATCCATCCACACCCTTTCTTTTCAATTTATTTCTGCCACAGTTCTTGCAAGAGGATTTTTCACCCACCACATGGCTCCTCTTCTCCTTTTTTACTACCTGGTCCTATTATCCCCTCCCTTGGCTGCTGTGCCACGTTGGAAGTACCCAAACTGTTTTAATTCTCCTAACATGGCAGGGACCAGAAGAATTTACATGGCAACTTTAAGCCATGTACCTGGTTTGACCACATCCATTATCATGACTCAATAAATTATATCTGGGGGGGGCTACAAAAGCGACCCCCCCCCTCCCTGGAGGTAGCTATTCTAGCAACAAGGAGCAATGAAATAACACACATATACCACCACTACTATCTAGGATGGATCATGCAATATGAAAAAGTAATTTGTATTAAAATGTAAAAAAAACCCATATGCAATACCCACCCAGCTATACAATCCTGGATTTCTATTCCCTTATTTATGAAAGTTACCATCTACAAGCCTCCTGAGCAAGAGAAATACTAAAAGAATGAACTTAAGTGGATTGAGGATCATGACCAAAGAAGGCTAAACCACAGAATGGTCCACCAGTTTCTAAAAGTCATTGCTTCATCTACTTCTTCCAGACACAACACATGAATGAGAACATCGAAACACTGACAAAACAATGGTATTACTGCAGTCCTGAGACCTGGTTGTAATTGCCAGCTTGAGTCACCAGCGCACACAGGGAAGCTAACTGTAATCTTAGGGAGAAAAACAAACCTCAAACCTGTCCATAGCTTAGGTGATGTTATCTTTAGGCATATGTGTGTGTGTGTGGGGAGGATAATAATAACAGATTAATGTGAATGTATGAGAAATAAATAAAAAATGGATGCCTGAGGCTTTGGACATAAGCAAGGTTTCTCTGCCTGCTTCTACAGACATACAGCTGCCATTGCTTTAACACAACTGGGCACCATAGATGAGAATAGGGAAAAAAGATGGGGTTGACATACCAGCAGCATAGCCAATGGCGAGAGAAGATGGGAGTTATAGTGCAAAGATTTCCCCTTCCTGGATCAGACTATGGAGTGTTGACTCATGGAGACAGGATGGAATTTGGCACTGCTTGGGTGGCTGCTGATTTGATAAACCCATCCCCCCCCTGTTGTTTTGTTTATCCGTTTTAATATCAATGCCTTGATTCTCTTGCTTCTTTTAAAGCTAGAGCATCAAAAACATAAGAGCAGAATTCACAGGGTTTTGCTGCTGGTGGAAAAAGAGAAAAGAAATCTAGATTATGAGTGTGGGAAAAAAGAGAGCGATTATTTTCTCCTTGGGGGGGAGGGCAAATTTAAACAATCATACACTGTACAGTTATTTTATATATAGCACCCATAACATGTACCTTTTAATTTGTACTCCTGTGGCTCAGTGCACTAATTCAGTGTCCAATCCAGTGTTTCATAACACCCAAACAGAAACTATATTCCTGATTTTTATAGAAGCATTACTGACTGCCCACTCGCCCACAACATTTACCCAATCATTGCATTTCTGGTTCTATTCCTATTGGACGACACAGATAATGCTGAGTATGATCTATTTTAAATGCCATTCAGGTTCTGTCTGAGTAATATTTCTGTGTTCCCATAGAAGGTGCTGACCGGAGCAGTGCCTATGGAGGCAAAGCAGAACAAGGCATTTGCACTAAGTGATCACATTTATTTGAATATTTTTGTGTGTGTGTTCTAAAATTGGTTACAGAATAAATACCTGCGCCTTATAACAGGAAGTCCACTTTTTTTTAATACAAAGTGCTTGTTAGAGGAAGTTGCATCAACAAAACACAGGAAGGAATGTGTGCAACTTGCCATACACGTCCCTCCTGAAAACTAAAACAGATTTTTTTAATTTCTTTTTTTTAAGTTTCTTTTCCCTTTTTTTGTGCATTTCATTTCCTGCCATTGTGTATTTACAAATCTCTGAAAGAAGGAAAAAAATTGCCAATATGCACAATACGTGGCCTTTTAACACACAAAAAAAATCAGCCTTAAAAAAAATCTACAAGTGTCATTTCTTAATGAATCAATGATAGAAATTTTCTCCTCTTAAAAGTGGGAAGGAAAAAAAATTAAAAGCAAAACCAAAGAGCCCAAAGATCTTGAAATAGAAAAGGATCATTTGTCCCTTTAAAAGTTTTGCAAACTGTAAAGTAGCAAATGTCACATGATCCAGAAGTAGATGCTTGATTGAAATCCTTGTTAATTTCCGCCACAGCTTGCCCACCCCACCCCACCCCCGCCCCCACTTGATACAAGGGAGAATTTTAAAACTTAATTAAATTAAAAGAGATGACAGCAATGCCCCTTTCAGACTTTGGCAGGTGGTAGAGATAAATGGAATTGGATTTGATTTAAAAGAACAACGAAAACTAGGAAAAGAAAATCTTCAAAAATCAGCAGGATTCTATCCAAACGAGATGGTTAACTGGTAACATAGTGTTTGGTGGAAGGCTGACCATAAACTCTATAGAAATCCTGGCGTCCATGTTGCTGAGATGCATCAATCCATTCTCTCACTGCCAATCCTGGAAGCGATTGAGGTACGGAAGGAGCAGGCGGAAGGTGGGAATATTCCTGCGATGACACTGTCCATGGAAAGTGGCCCGACCGTGGATAGGGTTGATGTGCATTGTGATTGGATACCGAAGAACAGTAACAGTTGTCCACTGAGCAGACGAGGATTTTACGCCCACCATATTGAGACAGCACTGACTGCTGAGATGATGTGCTGTTGGGGTAGTGGGAAGGGTTGAACATTGAGCCAGAGTGAACTGGTTGGGGGCCGCTGGGGAGTCCTACAATGTGCTGAGTGGAGCTACAAGGCACCATGGGTTGTGCAGACTGGCCTTCGCCAGCCGAAGCCCCCTGGCTCACATACTGGCTGGCAACGGGTCCCGAGGATGGCTCCAAGAAGCTGGCTTCGGGGAAAGCTGTGGAGTGCTTGCGTTTCTCGGCTCCTGAGTTACTGACGTTGCAAGGGTACATTGGGATGCTCTGCAGAAATGGCACAGGGGTGCTGAAGGGACCTGGAGGGAAAACAGAGAGAACAGGAACTGTCACTTCGATCGAGGCTGGCCTGGACTTCTTCATGCTAGTGATCAGTTTAAAGAGATTCTCCCTCTGCCAAAGCTACAGAGCCAGCCCGCATTTTTCAAGACAGCAATGGAAACCCTGGAAGGAATGCCAAAGAAACATACAGCCTCACAGCCAGCCATGGAAAAACAGAATAGAAACTGGGGGGAAGCTCATGTAGCACTCCACAAACTCAGTACTTTCCAGATGTGTTCAACACGATCCTCATCAACCTTGGCCAGCATACCCCTCGGCCATGCTGGCTGGTTAACACACTCAGAAGCCATTCCCGTATTAGGAAAGGTGGAGCCATGCTCCAGCTCCTCCAACATGTAAATCAGAGAATGGTGAGCCATTCTGGTGGATGCGGGGAGAAGTTTCCTCCTCTGCTTTGTATCACGAAAATCCAGCTGTTCAAGTGACTGGAGGAAATTCTTTTTTAATTGCCTAAAACTAGGCATATGTCCCTTTGTTTTAAAGGAAAATCACACCCCTGGAGGCTTCTTTGAGTGTGATTTTGTGTGTCCCCCCCCCAATTTTTTGGTGTGGCCTCCAGGCTCCTGGTGTCCACTCCTGGTATAAATAAATCAAACACCGAAGCAAGTTAATAAGCTTTTATCTTGGGATAATTAACCAAGCTCCAGACACAGGGATATGATTCATGCAAGGGCTGTGGACCTGTAAATCTGCGGACATATAATTTCTTCCAGAACTTGGCACCAAATGCCTGCAGTATGCCAAGCACTTGGTAAGCACTGCACACAGACAAAGGCAATGCCCTGGGACTGTCCTGTTTTAGATCTCAAAGCTGCCTGCCAGCCTCCAGTTCTTACAATAAACAAACGAACAGAAAAAATGAAATGTGTTTCACAAAATGGTATTATCACCAGTCTTGCTGCCAAGAATCTTAAGATGGTGCTAACATAACAGTATTTCTCCAGCTTGCATAAGGGAGTCAGAGATATTCTTTGCTGCAGAACTTGAGATTTCTGGGGCCCAGAACAGGGGCTCAGGACCTAAAGCTACAACCTGAGCCCTTTAACAGGCTGCTTTTCCAACTTCCTGATCCCATAATTGCGGCCATATCTGAGTCCATGAAAGGCAGAAGGTGTTTTAAATACATACATTAAGTGTGCTTCAGTTTTTAACTGTGAGATGCCCAGAGAAGTATGTCACAGTATGATTATATAAATACAGTTTAAAAACAAACAGACAAGAATGTTTATAGCATAGTATACAACCTGCTGTCCACTGGATGCTTTAAATCACAATGTTCATTAGCCCCAAGCAGCACGGTCCATGGTTAGGTATTAAAGGACTTGCAGCCCAAAGCATCTGAAAGTGCTTTATCTGCTTTGCTTTAAAGCTACTGTCTCTCCTGTATTAGCCAAGCATCACCTACCTGCCAGGTGGGCTGCAGGGTTGGAATACTCTGCATGAGTCTTCACCCTGATGTCACCCAGATTGTTTGGGCTACCAATTCTGGTATTCCTGACTACAAGATGTGGAATTAGAGCTGATGACAGCTGAAGTGTAAAACAACCTAACAGCAGCATGTTATTGAAATGTTGAGGGAAGTTGATAAGCAGATAAGGAGAACAAGGCCTGCTGAGCTTCAGTCTCACTGTGACTTTTCTAACAGGTAAAGCCAAGATTCAAGAATTCTGACATTCCTTGCTCCAGTCCCGCCTTTGTGCCCCATGATATGCTCCTGCCTTGAGGAGTCCACCTTCTCTCACCTGTCTTGCTAAGGTGGGGGAACCTTTGGCTTACCTGATTATTTTGGACTACAACTCCCACTATAACTTAGCCACTGGCTATTCTGGATGGGACTGATGGGAGCTATGGGAAAATACAACTGAAGGGTCAAACATTCCTTGCATTAAGCTGTCAGTCACACTACAGCTTTATGTTTTTTGTGTTATTTGCAACCAGCTAATTTTCCTCCACTGTTAGCAAACCCTCCGTATCTTGCTTTAAGTTTCCTTCACGTTTTCTTCTGAAAGCAAACTTTTTTGCAAATAAACTGTATGCGTATGCAGCTTCTCATAGTCATCTACAGAAAGAGTTCTCCCTCTCAAACTGTAAAGTACACCATAAGGGACATCACTTCTATACCCACATCTGACAAATCTTTTTTCAGTTCCTCAGCAGTCACACGGGGACTTTTCACCACTCTACGCTTTAGGTAGCGCACAGCAGTCGAAGTCAGCATCTTCTTTCTTCCACGACCAGGTAGCATTTCAACAGTGCCCTTTGCCTTGAATTTGCGAATGATGCTTCCTATGGTGTCTCTTGGTATGTTTAACTTCTTTGCAATCTTCTTATAGCCATTGCCCTTCCTGTGAAGACAAATCACCTCTTCTCTTGTCTTCCTGGACCATTCTCTTGACTTCACCATGTTTGTAACCACACCAGTAATTGTCTGGAAGGAGCTGAGTATCACAGTCCTTTTAAAGCTGCCTAATTGGTGCTTATTATGCTTGATTGGTGCTCGGTGACATCCACAGGTGTTTTCAATACCTGATCGAAAACACCTGAATGAACCTCTCTTCTTCAGAGTGGTAGTCTTTAAGGGGTTGAATAATTGTGGCAATGAAGAAACCACAAAAGAAACATTTACTACTGTATTACATAAACAATTGATGTTATTTTAGTTGCATTTGGTTCTTTAAAACGTCCTTGTAGGATTTCATTCTGAATACAATTCCCCAGAGAAGTTCTAGTCCCTAAACCCCTTTACAGCATTGGGGGATGAATAATTTTGAATACAACTGTAGCATAGTATACAACCTGCTGTCCACTGGATGCTTTAAATCACAATGTTCATTAGCCCCAAGCAGCACGGTCCATGGTTAGGTATTAAAGGACTTGCAGCCCAAAGCATCTGAAAGTGCTTTATCTGCTTTGCTTTAAAGCTACTGTCTCTCCTGTATTAGCCAAGCATCACCTACCTGCCAGGTGGGCTGCAGGGTTGGAATACTCTGCATGAGTCTTCACCCTGATGTCACCCAGATTGTTTGGGCTACCAATTCTGGTATTCCTGACTACAAGATGTGGAATTAGAGCTGATGACAGCTGAAGTGTAAAACAACCTAACAGCAGCATGTTATTGAAATGTTGAGGGAAGTTGATAAGCAGATAAGGAGAACAAGGCCTGCTGAGCTTCAGTCTCACTGTGACTTTTCTAACAGGTAAAGCCAAGATTCAAGAATTCTGACATTCCTTGCTCCAGTCCCGCCTTTGTGCCCCATGATATGCTCCTGCCTTGAGGAGTCCACCTTCTCTCACCTGTCTTGCTAAGGTGGGGGAACCTTTGGCTTACCTGATTATTTTGGACTACAACTCCCACTATAACTTAGCCACTGGCTATTCTGGATGGGACTGATGGGAGCTATGGGAAAATACAACTGAAGGGTCAAACATTCCTTGCATTAAGCTGTCAGTCACACTACAGCTTTATGTTTTTTGTGTTATTTGCAACCAGCTAATTTTCCTCCACTGTTAGCAAACCCTCCGTATCTTGCTTTAAGTTTCCTTCACGTTTTCTTCTGAAAGCAAACTTTTTTGCAAATAAACTGTATGCGTATGCAGCTTCTCATAGTCATCTACAGAAAGAGTTCTCCCTCTCAAACTGTAAAGTACACCATAAGGGACATCCCCAGTATACACGCAGAGGAAAAAAAGAAGGGTCAAGGCAGGCATCACTCACCTTCCAGCAACTTCCGCAACTGTTTTTCCTTCTTGGCAATCTCATTCAGGAAGAGCTTAGAATTAAGGTGGCCAATCTTCGGAGGGGGCAGGCTGCCTCCTGTGCAGTTCTGGGTCCTTAAGAAGGAAAATTACAGTCCATTACTGACTGAGATACTAATATCTATCCTCTGATGGACATAAGCTAGGGTGGGGGTGGCGAATACACCTGAAATTCCCTTGCTTCTGATTTATGCCACAGCTCTTGCCTAAGGTTCTCTCATACTGCTAATTTGGGAGGAGCCTCAAGTACTGAAGCTTTCTCCTGAAAAGAAGTGACTCGATTAAGAAGAGAATAGGGCTGTTCTGCCTCCATTAGTTCTGTGGAAGAAGAAATTTCTGCAAGAATAGCTTGCATTAAAAGCTGCACCTTCTGAAATATCTTCAAGATAACTTCTAAAACGTAGATGAGCCCAATCCTCTTTTTCATCTGGTCACCATGTCCACAACAAGGACTCTGCCCATCCTTGTTTTTCTGTGCCCCATTTAAAAAAAAGACTTTTTCCTGCACAGCTTTATGAAGAGACAATTCTACAACTACTAACTATTCACTGCAATTGCCCAGTATTGCAGCCCAGGAATATATTTTATGTATGTGAATTTATTCAGCTTTGTGTATGAAGGAAGAGCCTAAAGCAACCCAATGCTGGAATGACTGTTCTTTGTTTCAGCTAATTTTGGCTACAACCAAATAACACGTTAGAGAAAGATTCCAGTACAGTTTGAGCAGGCACACTCTTTAAGGTTGTATTTGTTGAATGAATCCCATTTGAAAGATTGCATAGTCATTGCTTGACTCTTGCAAGGTAAAACTCTTGTTATTCATGCCTACTACAATTCTGTGTCACGTTCTACTGGCATTTCCACAGATCTAACTTTCCATCATTAGTTCCCATGTAATCTCTATGTATTTCATAAAACTCCTAATATTTCATCCCTTTGGATGTGACCTTGCATTATAATTCAGCTTCTTCTTAATGTTGTTTCTAGAAAGCTAAAAGATTACGTATTTTATTCTGGCCAGGTTTCCTTTAAAAAAAAACAGATAACAAAATTTTGTGTCTGGTCAGGATAAAACCCTGCCACCCAGTATGTGTGCAAATCTATTCAATATGGATTTCTACAGTGTGTATCAGCACCATAGGTAAAACAACAGCTTATAAAGTCTGAATAGCATAACCCCCTTAAAAATGTTAGCTCTACCTCAGGAATTCATTTGGATTTGCTGTATCATACGCAGCTTCTTTCACCTCTACCTGTATTGTCAAACCACCCCCTCCAGATTTCTTACCTATCCATCAAGATTTTCACTGACTTGGTATTCTAGGAAGCAACAGAGAAAATGGAATCAGAAGTTGTCAATCATTCAGTTCCCATAGCACAGCAATTTTAGGTTGTCTACTTTCACCAGCTTCTCACCTGATCCTGCTGGTTTCATAGGAATTATGTTTCTCCCACTCCACACAATATTCACATATCGATGGATTGTACGGCCCTTACATATAACAGTATCTGAGAGGGAATGTAGCTCTGTTTAAGCACATATTTTGTGTAAAAGATCCCAGGTATAGTCTTGTTTTCTTCAAAGTGGTTACAAGATTAAAAACAACTTTAGCAAGACTTTACAGGCTACTCAGTGCTGGCTGTACCAGTAGGTTGAGCCTTTGGTCTAGGTCTGTATTATGCAGTTTCTAGAGAACACTGAACTAAGTTGAAAGGGCTGCTACGAGAATTAATGAGAAAATACAAACAACTTTGAAGTGCTATGTCAATTCCTACTTCCTGTTGCTGTTATTATTATTATTATATCAAATGTCTGTTACCTCCTGGTTCTACTGATAACTCTCCATCTCTCTGCTGAATTGAGATATCTGCCACCAGTTGTTCAAGCTCAGTCCTGAACAGCCTATATAACGCCTTAGCCAAGGGCAAAGTGAATTTGCCTCCTTTGCAAAGTTTCTCTTAAGTTTGGATGTCATTACTACAGTTTCCTGGATCACAGAGGTAGGAATATATTACGCCACACTTATCCTAGATTTTAATCTGTCCCTTCAGCTACAGTTTGAGACAGACTGCCTGTGAACTCAGAGGTCTGTTGTAGTTATTTCCCTATACCTGTTCCTCTGCCCTTGTCAGATGAATCATCTACCACCTCCTCATGAAAAATCCCTGCATACCAATACAGAAGCAATTCTAGACACCACAAAAATAGATTATAGAAACTTATTATTTGCAACAGACTCTACCAGTGCTCTGGTGGCCTGGCTCTGGACACCTGCTGAAGTGCAACGAAGCCAAGAGCACCTCAGCTAAAGGGATATACTCTAGCAGGGTGTAAATACTCTGCCAATCAACAGCTGATATTTACTCGGAAAGCTTCTTTTTGACAGGCAATACTGTCCAAGAGGTCAAGGGCACCTCATCCTTCTAAAATGAGAAGTGGGCCATCTGGTCTTTGCGAGAAGGAGATTAACTCCCAAGGGGGCTATGAGGCCCATCCTGACACAGAGTAGAAGATCTGAGATGACCTTTGTATTCATTTGTCTCCTGTATAACGCAGGAAAATTCAAACTGGGAAACCAGAAGGGGAAACCTGTTAGGGTCTGTGTACCACCAGCTGCAAGGGAAATCCCCCACCAAGGCAAGCTATTAAAAGCAGTATCTGCAGCACAAATCCTACCTCTGAACTCAGAAGGGGTTTCCCTGGGGGAACTTCATATGGAACAATTCATATGTAATTGTGTTCTGATAAGTTGAAGGTCATTATCTCAAGTAGACAATAACTTCACCTCCTTAAAGAATTGTTGACAGATTCCCCCTTAGCCTAATTTATCCCAAGAAATGTTATTTAGTAGGAGGTTTGAAGGCACTGGTCCAGCCATCTGACCTTCAACAAGGTTTCTGCATGTGTCTAGTGGGAGAGGGGGGCATCCTTCACTGTCACCAGTCTGTGATCCACCTCCACCCCTATTTCCTCTGAAGAGTTTGGGATAGTGCACATATCATTCTTCCATTTTATCCAAACAGTTAACACATGAGATGGGAAGAACCGAGAGATGCTGGTTGGCCCAAAGCCACTCAATGATCTTTAAGGGCAAGAACAGGTGTGTGAACCTGGGACTCCTTGTTCTATCTCCAGCATTCCCCAACTACCACTCTGCATCTCAACAACAAACAAGGAAGCAGAAACACAGCCCCTTCTCAATATATTCTTCCACGTGACTCCACTTTTCTAAGTCCCCCACCAAGGACCACATAACCTTGACTTTTCTCTGTGAATGGTGCTCGTTCCTCTGCATCATCCTGCCAAGTGTTAAAGATTATCATCCCAAAATTTGGAGAGCAATGTGGTGTACAGCTATGGTTTCCAAGCTCTCTGTGTGAGTATGCATGCAGGCACTCATATGTTTACCATGGGGGAGGGGGCAGGGCAAGAAACCGTGAGATTTTCACATGAAAAACGTCTCTTTATCAGTTTGAACTTTTTTTAATTTTCAAATTTTATGCCATGAAATTAATTCAGAACACTTTTTACACTAGGTGCTTGCATTTTTTTTTATTTTAAAATGCACGATAGTGTGAGTGTTTCTCCAAATTAAAAAAGAGCCATGATGCAAAAAAAACCCCAAAAACCTTGGAAACCATTGGTGTACAGTGTGGTAAAACAGAAGGTGGATTAGTTATCTGCATGCACTTACTCCGGTGGGTAACTTTGATTCTCCACAGATTTTTTGCCTACTGCTCCAATCAGTCCCAGCCGAGGTAGTCAAATGCAGGGAATTATGAGTTACACCTTGAAAATATGTGGAGGGTTGCCCTTAACCTTAATGGTGTTATTTACTGTAGGCAGTAAGTAGCTTAATGCAGGTATGAGTAGTTTTCCCAAGTTATTGCCAAAATGGAGGTAAAGGGGAGAAAACGCCAACCCTACTTTTATCCAACTTTTTAGTAAGAGAGTCCTCTTACCTCCCACCTCTCTCCCTATTTCCAAAATCCTGTCTTACATTTCTGAATCTTAGTGGTGACAATGGATCACCTAAAAATACAGAAATGGAGGGTGCATTTGATATCCAAGGGAGAACACAGATGAGCACAGATCACTGATTTTTCCAGATGAATAGATAATCTGTTTCTGTCTCAGCTTCTCTTGTTGCTAGAAAGACCTCAGCAAAGAGGACACCACTTAAGCTTAGGGCAACTACAGTAGGCAAGTTTCAAATGTTTCAGAGAGATGAAGTTGCGTTATGCCAGGTAAATATGGATGGAGATATTACTGAATAATTTGAGGAGGAGTAATGAGAGAGATTACAGTTAAGTTTGTGGGCTTCAAAAGAACTGGTATGTGAGGCTTGGGCTACAGATGGAAATGTAGGGGTGTCATGCTGGGAGAAAATAGTCTGTAGCAACCATTGCTGGGTTGAAGTTGTCATCTTATGTGCCAAATCCTTTATTTTACTGGCAAGCTGCTCCACTGGACCCTTCCCTTCCCCAAACAGCCCCCACTTCACCTTCATAAAGTTGATGTCCTCGGTCTTGTCATACATGACCTGAACAGAGCTCAGCAGCTTCTTGGCCTCTTGCATGCGCTCACTGAGGTGCAACACCTGGGCAGCATTCTCATTGCAGAACTTTGCTTGGGCCTTGTCTAGGATCTCCATAGTCTTGCGCAGGTCCTCATCAAGGATCTGGTGCATCTTCTCATACTGTAGGCGCACCTCATCCTTCAGCTGGTTCACCTTCTCCTGGTGGAATGGAAGGAAGAAGAAAAATACTTAAGAGTATTTCACACCTATTTCCTAGGTTTGGGCAAAATAAAGTCTGCCAGAAATAGTTGGATTGCAACTCCTAGCATTTTTCACTGCTGATTATGCGGGCAAAGCTAATGAGAGATGCAGTCAAACATCTGGACGGGTGTAGTTTGGCCACCCCTGTTTCAGACACTCAAATGGCTACTCTTCAACACTTTCCTCTTCAAAGGTCTGTGTGCTTTATGAAATTCTTAGGAAGATGCAGGAATCCAGAGTTATTCAAAAATTGCATAGGACAATCTTCAGAGTTTGGAAGTGTAGGCTATGAGAGAACATCATTAGCCATTTTGAAGAAAACCAATATTCATTCATTCATTCATTCATTGTACTGTATTTGTACCCTGCCTATCTGGTCAAAACGACCACTCTAGTGGTCTAGTAAATCACAGTACAGATGGATTATCAGATACACAGAAAGATAACAGGGTATGTCTGTCAAGAGGAAGCTGTGAGCCATGACTTTGGTTGTTGTGTAAGGCAGCAGGGCAGGCATCAAGACACAGAACACTAGAGACCTAACGTTTTGGGATCTGTCCTTAAACAGCAAAGCAAGGCCTCAGATTAACAGAAGAAATCGGAGTTGACTTACAAAACCGGAAGTTCTGTTCTGTCTGATGCAAGACTTAGTTTAGGATTTTCTATGATCTCACAGGCTTGCTCAGATATTATAGAACAGGAATGAGGAATATGACTTCTTTTGGATGTTGCTGTAGAGAGATTCCTATCATCCTTCACCACTGGCTATGCTGTCTATGACTAATGGGAACATGGTCCTACAAAGAAGGCTAAAGCTTCTTCAACTGCATCGTACGAAACATTAGTCTTATAAGTCTATCCTTATGGACTTCTACTTAAGCTCCTCCATGCATGGAGAGTTGAATTATTGCTACAAAGGCTCTTTATTGCTAACAAAGGCTCTAACTATATATAAGCTCCCCTTTCAAGACCTTTGCTTGGTAGATGAACATGACAGGTGACTGCAGCCTCTGGATCTTCTTTAGTTCTAAAAGGAGAATCATAGTTACCTCAACTAGCCGCTTGTCGGATTCCAACTTGTATAGCTGCTCTTCAATGTCTTGCTCACGTTCTTCCAGGCGGTCCTGCTGTTTTACCAGCATTTTCTGCAACAGAAGGGACAAACAGAGGAAAGGCTCTTATGAATCTTTTTAAAAACAACAGCAGCAACAATAGCACCAGACTGAAGAGATGACACAACAGCAGCAGCAACAACAACAACAACAAAGGAAGGTTGGAAGGACTGAGGAGAGATCCTTGTGCTGACTTGCTATGCTTTTGTCAGAGAGCATAACCAAAGGAATGTAGCAGCAGCTGCACACAGATTCTTGCAGTTTTATGGACTGCCAGGCAACAACTTGTGGATAAAAGTGCTCAGTTCCAAAAGCCATTGTGAAATTATCTAAAAGCTGAGTAAACTTCCCTTCCCCTCCCCATTCCTGTAAAAATCCTTATTCTACCTGCAGTGGGAGCCTCTTGGACCTCACACAGTGATATTTGCATAAGAACAGGGAACAAATCCCTTCTTTTGCTTTCCTGCTTATTATTATAAGGCTTTCCCAAGGGTTGTGTCTGACCATCCTGCACTGTAAACACACAACAATTTTCTTACTACAGTATGTCCCTTCCTGAGATTTCGAAATCTAAGTAGAGAGATATAATCTCAGGGGTTGTTTTGAAGGCTATGATGGCAACTACCCTTTTTCTTGATTCCCATGAAGGTTCTATTACCTCCTCACTCCTATTATCTTGTGGGCAACAGAAACAGCTGGGCAGGTGCCCCACCATCTCCTGTGGTATTCTTTTTAAAATCATGGGGAACCCTGGAACACATACATACATACAGGAGTTCAACTGAGAATAATTTGGCTTCGCTCAAGTCTTGTTTGAACCCTTATGCATTGTTTTCTTCATTTTCACTTGTTATTTCAATTTTATTTTACTTATTTAAAAATACTGATGATCCCTCCTTCCTCCAAAGAGTCCAAGGTGTTAAAAACAACAAAAATAAGATATTTAACAAATTAAATATTTTCTTATTGAAAATAAACAATAAACAACAACTAAATATTTATCAATAAAATTAAGATTAATAAATAAAATACATTTTCAACAGTCAGATTACATGTTAAATGCCTTCCTAAAAAGAAAAGTATTTTATAGGTTCCAGAAGGTAATTAATGAGGAAATGTGTCATTATAGTATAGAGGAGTTGGGGGCGGGGCTCAAGCATTTCTAGGATTTAAGTTCTATTGAATGTGGCTGACAAAAATGCAAAGGATAGAAATGTACTTTAACTTTTAATGAAGACTTTATATTTGTAACTCTTTACAAGGGTTATAGGTAAAAGCAAAATAGAAATAAAAAGTTAAAAAAGACAAAAATGGGATGACATCTTAAAGACTAACTATTATATTTATAGCCATAGTGTTGCCATGCATGGTTTGTAGGCTTCCATGTTACACAAGTTTACTCAAAGTTTAATCCAAAAGCTCTTCTAGCACTGGGGCAAGAGAGCAATACTTACAATGAATCTCCCCTGGTTCACATGAAGTTTAGAAAATACTTTAAATGACGAAGCTTCCTAGCTGACTTGGTGTCAGAGAGAACGCTGCTCTAATTTCAGGCACATGAACTACAATACTTGCAAAAATAATGAACCAGATAAACCAGTCTTGCAGAATCTTTGTCTACGGCATCAACAAGCGGGTTTTGCAAACAACCTTAATAGTAAAATGCACAGGTATATATCAGATTACAATGTCCAGATAAAGCACTGATGGGCACATTTTCACATGATGATTAAGATTTGTCCTTGATTCTTGCTGGTCAACTATCACATGGATAATGGTAGTTTATTTGTTTGTTATATCTTCATCTGCCCTTTTTTCAAGGAGCTGATTCTTGGAGTCACCCTGCAGAGTAGGTTAGTTTGAAAGACTGAGTTGTGCTCAAGGCCACCCAAGGAGATTTTTCTCAGAGCAGGCATTTATATCCAAGCAGATTCATAATAATTTTGTGCTCAGTCACTTCATTACAGAATGTCTAAATCAGAAGGAGGATCAAGGTGAAGTATAATAAAAATGGTCTGTAGCACAGACATCCTCATGGCCCAAACAAGCAATGCCACACACATTATAGGCCACCACAGGGAAAAAGCATCTTTCAAACTCCCAAGAAAAGAGATAAGGCAAGGCAAACATGAACAAGTCCAATGCTTTATCTATTCTGCCACACCAGCGTTCATACAAAAAGCCATCCTTGATTAGCTTGCCTTCAAATAATGGCAAAATGACAGGCACACCTATATACAACTGCCCATAGAAAGTGTGTGTTGTATAAGGAGTGTGGTACTTATTCCATGAGTTGTGATACATGTACTCACTGTAGGATCCTGAAAATATGTGGACACTGTCTTGAGTATCTTACAGGCAGGGATGGGGATGAAGGAAGAAGGCAAGCCAGAAGCTTTGCCCTTCCAAAACTTGATAGTAGCTACCCTGTTTCCTCCAAAATAAGACCTAAGGTGAAAATAAGACCTAGTATGATTTTTTCAGGATGCTCGTAATATAAGCCTTACCCAAAAAATAAGCCTCAGTTAAGTGAAACCCTGCCCTCCACCACTGTGCAGTAACCAGAAGATGATGTGACTGTATTTGAATAAACATAGATTGTTGTACATGAAAAAAATAAAGCATTGTCTGAAATATAAGCCCTAATGCATTTTTGGAGCAAAATTTAATATAAGAACCTGTCTTATTTTCGGGGAAACACGGTACTTGTAAATAATTAGTTACTTGCAATTACTCCCCCCCCACACACAATGGTATAACCACATTACATTAGAATTATAACTTAAGAAGCGTTGTCATCCCTTTTGACCATACCTCTAACTATTAAAATTATGCTTACAGGTATGGGACCCAGGCTTCAACAAATAGCAGAAAATCACTATCACATGGTTTAAAGGGTGCTTTGTGTAATGTTTCTATACTCTATTGCAGGTATTAAGGCAATGATAAGGGAGATGGAAAGTGTTTTGTATTACACACAACCACACTAGACATGAGCACAAAGCTCGGTTTGGAGGTTTGTGTTGGTTCATATACGGGGCCTGCCTCCCTGGCCAATGACCCGCTCACCAATCAGAGCACGCTCTTCTCTTCTTCTTCCTTGGCTGTTTGACCAGTCCAGGGCAGGAGTATGTGTTTGCTGTCCTGCCTGTTCGTCTAAGTGGGCGATCTACCAAAGAGGAGGAGGTGATTAACCTGCGCTGGCTGGTGAGTGGGGGATCCAGCTGGGGAGGTGGGGGAAGGGGACACACGGAACCTGTGGTGCCACATGTATGAAGCGACACAAACTTCTAAACTGAGGTTTGTGCCCATCTCCAAACCACCCTAATAACTACAGAAACTTTAGTTGTCTCAGAGGAACAGGAAAGTAAAGAGGAATTAATCCAAGTAGCTTACATAACAGCATCAAGGAGGTCTGCCACACAGATAAAATCATACTTGCAAAACTCCATTGTATATCTTCAGAGTATGAAGTTATGAAGAATCAAATGCACAGGAAAGTAAGGCCTATCAGTTGTTTCCTTATCTCCTATCCCCTCACCCCATCCATTTATTCTTGTATTCATCATACTATGTTGGTCGGTCCACTTCAAATTGTGAGCCTACAGGCAATGAATACTCATTTTAAAAATTTATTGTGCAGTACCTAGTAGTTTTAGGCAACTGATAAATAAAATATGATGGTGGAGCTGATATTTGCATAATTTATTCTGGCTGCAGGATTAGAGTTAAAAAATAGGGCTGTTATCCAATTAAATAAGTCCCAGCCAATTAGTTGTATGGATTTTAATTAGTTTAAGTCTACACAGATTGTATACATGTAAAACCAGTTATCATTCTGATAGGAACAACATAATTTCTTGATATTTTAGGCAACATATGAATGTATCAGCAACTACTATCCTAACAAAGGGCATTTCCTTCTGTGGGAAAGAGAAGAGGGGCAGCCTCTTCCAAGATGATAACCACTATTAGCACTGCTCTCAAGTCAGCCTCCTACAACCTGGCACCCTCTGAATGCGTTGTACAAAACTCCCATTCTCCTCAGCCATTTTGGCATGGTTGCCTCCTGATGCATTTCGCTTCACTGTATCCCCTATCAACATGACTATTGATCATGGTGCCCAGATCAGGTGAGAATAATAATCAAATCGTGTACAAAGCCAGGGACATCTATAATATGCTGTTATCTTTGAAATAGTTAACAAGTCTTCAATGTAAGACAAAAAATAAAGTCAATTATAGACATGGAAATAAAGAAGAGGAAACACTTTAAACCAACTCAAAGTATTCCTACTCCCTCTCTTTGTGTACTCCCATTAACAGCGGGGGGGGGGGATATGCTCTGCAGTATTTAATTCATGTAAAAGTCTTGGGAGAGGAGATTAAGACAAACTTACTTAAACCAAATTCAAAATGGCTGCTCAGCTTGATTCCACTGCTCAACAGCTTGGCCTGGAGATGTAGCTCCTCCTGCCAAGAATTGCTAGTGCTGGATCAGCATTGGTTCCCCACTCTGTCCACAGCAAACATGACACAGACACTAAGAACCCACAAAGAACCCACAGACATTTGCCCTTAATTTTCTGTATGTTTAATCAGCCTTGGGCGGGGGTGGGTGGGGAGGGAAACGCCTCCTTTCAAGCCTTGAACTAAAAGGCAAAGGGGGACAGAGCAAGAGGAAATGTTAACTGGCTAAAAATGTCAGGATAGGATTTTTGGGAGAAGGGAAAAACAATAGCAAAGGCTAATTTTGAAGGGATTATTGCTATTATAAACTACCACTTGGGGTTTATAATCAAGTAATTAATTCTGGGTCTAAACGGGGGAAGGGGGATTAACTACCCTGAAGGGAAAGGCCACTACCTCTTTAAAGCAAAGGAAAGCAAAGCAAAGCGTGCTGCCTATATACTGCCCCGTATCACTTCAAGCACTCTCTGGGTGGTTTACAAGTTAATTATGCAGGCTACACATCCCCCCCCCCAGAGGGCTGGGTCCTCATTTTACCGACCTTGGAAGGATAGAAGGCCGAG